GACTCGGGAGACCAGCAAGGCCCGTTCAGATACTTCTTGGCCTTTGTCACCTTCCTTCCTCCTAAGTATGAGGCAACACTCCTGGAACGAAGACAGATGGGAGAGTAACTTTTTAGGTTTTATGGCTTATCTTGGGGGAGACGGGCTCCAGTTTCTGTGCCCTGCCTTGGGGAATAGGTATTCTGGTTTCTGGGAACTAACTTTGGGGGAGAAAGAGGATGGCGGGGATAGGAGGGCAGGAGAAGGTTTGGGAGGTTTGCTCTTAAGGCCTTCAGCATGCCAAAGAATCATACTTCAGGTATTGTTTTCTGTGTCCCATCAAGTTGTAATAGTATAAGGTGGCAGTGTACAGAGTTCTGTGTCACTTACTTCGTACATTGCCCTCTCTCCCCTGGCCATAGGCTGCCTCTTTCCCTTTCCTTTGGTCACCTCTCACGAATACGGGGATGGAAAGCAGGCAGGAGGCGGGTGTGTATTGATACAAATCTGTTGCTGTTACCGCAAAAGCAATTTAGAGTATCTATCGTGACAGGTCACTCATGACATGCATCGTTTACTAGCATTCCTTCTCTTCACCTCCCTCTATAGAATAATCTTAACTTTAAACCCCAAACAGTAACATGCACTGACCGATAAGAAGGGCGTTAGGAATTTCTCTGAAAAGTGCTGAGTATTTCTTTTAGAAAAGGAACTCCGGAGATGTTAGCTGGAATAATAGTAACGGTTTTGAAAGTGTGCACCTGCTGTCCTCATGGTTTGGGGCAACTTCAGTCTGCTTTAAAGCGGGGTCCTATAATTACTGAATGTTGTGTGTTTGGCCCAAGATTAGGAAGCACTGTGGTAGGGGCATTATCTACTGCCCAGTATTAACCTGGCATCAGGTCGGAGGTACAACTCCTGCATAGATCTGTGTTCTACCTTTCGTCTGCTTAGATGAAACCCAAGCTTTTTGTTTTGTATTTTAAGTTTCTGTTTCCATATTTATAAATGAAGATAATAATCGACCTTTTCTGGTAGAATTGTGAGCAGTTACCTGGGATGAGGCGAATAAAGCTATCAGTACATAGAAAGGGCTCAGTAGGTGTTGTCTGGAACAGATGAACGAGACAGCTTGCTCCTTTAGTTGCTCTTCTCTTTCCTCTTCTAACTTGGAACCTTTATTTCGAACTAACCTTTTCAGGATATTCTGTATTTAAGAACAATTACCCAGAAAAGAAAAAGAAAAGCCTTGGTTTGCACTTAAGACAGTTGGATGTGACTTTTCGTGCAGCCAGAGTTGGCAGGGCTACTGTGTGCTGGCTGACTGGTGGCGCACATGCAGATGCTACTGTAGTAATTACCAGAGGAAGCCCGATTAACTCAGAAGTCCTTTACTGTCAGCGAGGCAGCTGCTCCTGCTCCAAAACAGGTTTCCTTCCTCCCTCCTACAGCCAGTCTACAGCTTTTAATCTCTTCTTTGGAGACTGCTAAGACTGCACTGGAGGTCCTCAGAGCCCTGGCTAGTTCAGTCAGCGTTTTGATCTGTAGCTGCAGCAGTCCAGGGGGAGCTTGCATAATTAAATTCGCATATACTTTAAAGTAAAATAAAAACCAGACCAACCTGCCATCTCCCTTACATCCATACTCTTTCAACAGTTAAAACAAGATAGTAACCTAGAATTTAAGAGCTGAAAGGGATGCCGAATATGCACTACTCCAACTTTCTAAGTTTACAGATGAACAGTTCAAGGCCCAGAAAGAACAAGTGGACTGCCAAGGTCACAGAGCCAGTCGGTGGCGAAGCCCAGGGTCAGAAAAGCTGCCCTTGTGCTAGTGGCATTCCCACTTCCATGTTGCATGCCTCGTCACTGAGCCAGCCGTGTGCCCAGAGGAGCAAGCTGGAAAACCATCTTTCATCTCATTTCTCTCTGCATCCTGGTTCAAATCTTATAGACATATTAGAGATCAGTGAAAAAGCAAATGATTTGTGGGAGAAACAAAAGGTTTGGATAGTGATGCATGGAAAAACAGGTAGCACAAAGTGGCACACACCTGGAAACCCAGCTGTTTGGGAGGCTGAGGCAGGAAGATCACAAGTTCAAGGCCAGCCCAGGCAGCTTAGCAAGACCCTGCCTCAAAATAAAAAACCAATAAAAGACTGGGGTGTATCTCAGTGGAAGACCTTGGGTTTAACTTCCAGTAACACCCCCCCACCACACACGCAGGCGAGATGTAGCCCACTGCCAGAGCACTTGCCTAACATCTGCAAGGCCCTGGGTTCGACCCCCCAGCACCACAAAATAGAGCACACCAGAGGTAACTAGCAATGTCCATCTTCACGACCTTTCTTCAGGGCAGTAGCTATAGGAGGAGCCCTTGCAGAGTGCTTGGAAACAGAGGACTGGGCTCAGCGTCAGCCCCCTTTCCTATTGGACAGTAGCAGGTTTATTTACAGTGACTGTTTTTGCAAGAGAGATGGGGCAGGGGAGGTAGTAATTTGGGTCAGATGAATAATGGGGTGTGTCTGCTATGGTTCAGGCTGATGCAGCAGGTTTTATTGGCTTTCCTGTAGCTGATACTTAGTCTCAGGTGTTTGGCCTCTCCTTCTGTCCCTAAAGAGTGGTACGGTTGCTTTTCCCTGTTACCCACACTCTTAGAGTAGCAGTAACAAAGCTCATTTGGCTTTGTTGCTTTATTATTATGAAAAAACTTCTACTACAGGAATGTGAAGGTTGTCAGTGTGAAATGAGAATCTGGGAGGACTGGGAGAGTAGGAAGAGTAGATGAAGTCTGGACGGACGTCCGCCTTCCCAGCTGAGAGCAGGTGGTCGCGTTCTGCAACAGGAGTGGAGGAGATCCTGCTCCTTGTCTGCATCTTCTCTCCATGTTGAGCTCGTTCCCCTTAAACTATTCATCGTGATGCTGTGCTTTTTGGGACACTTTGTGGACTCACTTGTGGCCTTCTGTGGACCATTTTCCACCATAAGTGGTTCTTACACTGAACAGGCAGATTATAACTTTAAGCACATACTGTGTGTCAGTCGTTGTGTTGGGTGTTAAGGATACAGAGAGCAGTAGGATGGTTCTTCATGCTTTTAATGGTTGTAATCAGATTATAAAACACTAAGCTGTGATAATCTATAATTGTGAACAAGGTGCAAGGGGACCCAGGATTAACCCATTGCTGCGTGTTAAGTGGTCACACAGACAACCTGCTGTGCACCTGTGCTCTAGATGGTTGGCTATAGGTAGATTAGACCAGTAACCTGGTGTCTTACTCCTTTTTTTTTTTTTGGTGGTGATGGTGAGGTGTACTGGGGATTGAACCCAAGGCCTTCACACTGATCTCTATCCCCAGCCCTTTATTTTTTGTTTTGAGATGTGGGTGTTGCTAAATTGCTAAGTTGCCCAGGCTGGCCTTAAACCTGTTATCCTCCTGTCTCAGCCATGCAGAGTGCTAGCATTATGAGCATGCACCACCACACCCACAACTATTTCTGTAGTCAGTAAGAGAGGGAATTAGGCACTCAGTGAATGCTCTACATTCACTTTTTCAAAGGAGACTCTTTCCCAGGAGAGTTCCTTGGGTCCGTGTCTGGCATCACTAATGTCTGTGTGTAGGCAGGGGTGATGCACTTGAAGGCAGACATGAAAGCAAGGGTCTTACTGAAATGCAGAGAGGAGCCTGGGGAAACACAGACCTCTTTAAACCCTTTCAGCAGTGAAAGAAAAGGAAGCCTGAGGATTTGAGATGGTACCAGGTACATTCTGAAGTAGGGCCACCTTTTAGTGACTCAGACCTCTTGTTTCAATTACATAAGCTCAACAGTCAACATACAAGTGGTTTATGGAGAAATGACTAAAGCAAATACCACTTCAGTTAGTAGTACCACCCAAAGCTTCAGTTACACTGTAGCGTTGATTCAACACTATAGATTGGCCTTTCTGAATCTTAGATGTGGGCGACTCTGGTGCTGAAGGAGCGGGAGAGGATTGAATTGAAACCCTGCAAGTTTCAGGGCACCAATTTCTAATTCTTTCCCCTACTCGGAGGTTATTGTATTTTAGGAAGCTTTTTGTTCGCTCTCCAGTACTGTTTAAATCTGTTTGGGGAAGCTAGCCAGTTAGGTCAGTGATGGTTGTGTTGAAAGGTCGATATTTTTTGAGACAGATCACATCTCTTTCTAGATTTCCCTGGATTTTATCCCAGCAGAAGTTAAAGACCCTCTGTCTTACTCTGGGTCTCGTCATCCATAAGTGGAAGGAATGTGACTTGATTAGAAGTATCGATCCTAATTGAGCGCCAGATGGTTTAAGAAAGCAGGGATGCTGTGAGCAGAGAGATGAACTGAAAATACTCTGGAGCTCATGCAGTCTTGCAGAGCTTTTCATTTCAGTGTACGTAAGTACATACGGATCAGCTCAGGCATTTAGTTACAAAATATGCCATAAGTGAGGCACATAACCCCAAACTGTGTGTGGTAGAGACGTTTAAAGGGGCCGTATATGCTGCAGTGTTAGGTCGTCTGTCAGAGGAGGTTTTAATTGTGACACATTCAGGTGAGATTTTTCTTTGGACTAGAGTCCTGGTTACTGTCATTTCAGTGTTTTTGTGTTTGTGACAGGGTCCTTGTAACTCCCTAGGCCGTCTCCAGTGGATGAAAAATGAGGGTGTGGGGAGGGAAGATGAGGTCATTGCCACCTTTCTGGGAAGAAATAACTTCTTGTTCTCTGGGGACAGCTGGGGAGAACAGCAACATTTGATATTTGAAGAACTTTTCTGGCTGGGATGTTTTCCTAATATCTCCTTTCACTGAGTTTCCTGGAAATGTTTCCTCTAGGACAGTGATGGTGAGACTTTTAGAGCTTTCAATAACAAACATCCCGCTGTGTGCCATGGGTTCGCCACCACTGCTCTAGGACCCTGACATCCTCATGGATTCTCTGTGTGAATCTCTCTAACTGCTCCCCACTCTTCTCTCTCTACCCCACCCCACCCCACTCTCCCCTTCCCCAACCAGGCCAGCTGAGCTGCATTTCCTTCCCGCCTAAGGAAGAGGAGCACCTCCAGCAGACTGTGGGCTGCCTCCCCTGCATACTGATCCTCGGTCAGGATTGCAGTGTCAAGTGCCAGCTGTTGAACCTGCTGTTGGGGGTGCAGATGCTTCCTGCCACCAGGCCAGGCAGTGAAGACAGCTGTAAGCTGCGGCGACTGCGCTTCACCTATGGGACTCAGACTCGGGTCAGCCTGGCGCTCCCGGGACAGTACGAACTAGTGCACACGCTGGCTGCTCACCAGGGCTCCTGGGAGACCATCCCTGAGGAGGACTTGGAGGTGCGAGGGGACAGTAAGGATGCTGCTCATGTTTTAGCCGAACTGGAGGTGACAGTGCACCATGCCCTCTTAAAGGTACTGATCTCATACTCATGTCACTTGTACTCGTCTGTGCCAGCTTTGCTTTTATTTTGACTTTTTTGAAAAAGTAGTTTGATGAAGTTTACTTTGAACTCTGGCAGCAGCTTCTGGAGTCAGAAGAACATATCCTAGGTAGTTGAAAGGAGACAGTAACCCTGCCTCTGCTTACATGCTTCAAGGCCCTGAATATTTTGTTTATCTCCTTGTCGCTTAGTCTCCTGTTCTGAAAGAAAAAGAATATGTAGCAACTACATCTTAGACTTTGGCAGAATTTTGCTGGAATTGTCTCTAGCCATCCCTTTGTGAAAGGACATCAAGATGATGGATAATTAATGTTCCTATTAGAATTGACATCAAACGAAAATTGGTGTAGCTCTGCCTTAGATCCAGCCACGAACTCACAGAGCTGGACAGCTCACTCTCCGGCTCACTGTGAGGAGCCACGTGTGGTGAGGTCCCACGTGTGGTGAGGTCGTCTTGGCTTCTCTCTTGAAGTAAATTCCCACAGACAGCGCGGGAGCTGCAGCATCTCCTAGGAGATCACTCTGTCTGTCTCGTGTCCTGCCTCCACCTAGGATGGAGTCCTGTATCTTCTGGGGTTCCTTTCTCCTGGACAGCTTTAGGCCACCTCACTGTAAAGGATGAAACTGTGTTGGGTCAGCAACAGGAAGGAATAGAGTGCGGTCACGCTCAGAATGGGAGTTCATCGCCTCAGGCAACCATGCCAGAAGGATGGGCTGCTTTGGCAGTGCTGGAGAGGGTGTTTCTTCTTCCCTATCCCCTCTTAATCTACCCCGCTTCTAGGAGAGTTGGTTTCTCAGGCAGTGAATGGGTCCTTTGGTTGTGGCACGGCCCATGATACTCTAGAAGTGAAACTGCCTTCTCATTTCCTTTCACAGTCCTTATTTCTTTTATCTTGACATGCTAGAAGGGGCTGTGCAGCAGGCCCCCATTTTCTCCAAGTTGAGTTGCAGGGGCGTTGGCTTCCTCTTTGTTGAGACTGAGACTGAGGGCTTACACTTCAGGAAACTGCAGTAGCCCTTGTTTATTGGCTAAGGCCTGGTCACTTGACCATGAACTCCTTCACACTTTGTCAGTATTTGATTCATACACAATTTCTCTGTACTGTACTGCATTCTAGTTCCCTCAAGGTTCCAGTTGCTCAGTTTTCAGAAGTTTTTAGATTTTAATTCACTGCTATTTGCCACAACGTGGATTGACGTGGAGGACTTTATGTTAAGTGAAACTATCCAGGTAAAGAAATAAAAATACTAAAAGTGCCATATGGTCTCATTTATATGTGGGAATCTTTGAAAAAAAAAAAAGGAGAGAATGAAAACAGTGGTTTCAGGGGACAGGGAAGAGGGTGGAGGTTGAGAGGAAGAAATGGGAGATGTGGGTTAAAGGGTGCAGAGTAGCCATAGTAGCAGGTATTAAAGATGGAATAAGCCTAGAGACCTAAAGTTCAAGATCAGGACGATAGTAAATCAAATTGGGAATAAAACTGTATTAGGAAGTTTTGTTAAACGACTAGATTTTAGCAGCCCTTAGCACAGAAACACTGAGATGATAGATGTGATTAGTTACCCTATAGTAACCGTTTTATTATCTGTGTATCTCATCATGTCCTATAAACTGAAAACATACACAATAGAATTTCCTTAAAAAAGAAAAACATTGTGTACCTACTACACATATATGCATATACGTCTGTAATAAGTTTCAGGAAGCAATACTTTTACTTCCTGCAGTGCACACTGATATTTTCTTTTCTTTTTGACTTAATTTTTAAAAAAATGATGGCAGCAACCCACTAAATTGATGCTGTGAGCTGCTCACTGTGACCTGTGCTGAAAGAGCGCTGTTACGTAGCCCAAGTGTCTGCTGTAAGCAGGGTGCTGCCTTTTCCTGTTCTTGCCTTCTGATTTCGGAAAGAACAAAGCCATCTGTAGCAAATTACTCAACTGATTTCTCAGTGTCCCTTTATTTTATTGATTTTAAATTCCTTCTTTCGTGGGCCAGCGTTGTAGTTCAGTGGCATTGCACCTGCCTGGCAAGTGCATGGTCCTAAGTTTGATCACTGGTATGGGGGGGGGAAGAAATACAAAAAAAAAAAAAATCCCTCTTTCTTTCCTTCCCTATTTCCATCCTCTCTTTTTTTCCCTCCCTTTCTGTGGTGGTGCTGGGGATCTAATCCAGCCAGGACTTCAGGTATGCTAACTGCCACTGAGCTACACCCAAACCCTATATGGCTTTAATTGCTTGTTTGCTTGCTTTCTCTCTCACGCAAGCTTCCCCCCCCCCGTCCCTTGGTGGTAGTGGAGTTTGAACACAGGGCCTTTGCACTGAGCAATATTCCCAGCCCCCTTTTTTTTTTTTTTGAGATAGGGTCACGCTAAGTCACTAAATGGCCCAGCTGGGCTCAAAGTTGGATCAGCCTCCTGGAGTGTTGGGCTTATAGGTGGGTGCCGCCATGCCTTTCCTGGGTTAAATTTTTTTGTTTGTTTGTTTGTTTTTTTGAGACAGGGTCTCACTATGTAGTTGACACTCACCTGGAACTCACTATGTATCTCAGGCTGGTCTCGAACTCACAGCGATCCTCCTGTCTCAGCCTCCGGAGTGCTGGGATTACAGGCATACGCCACCATGCCCGGCTCCTGGGTTAAATTCCTAATGCTCATGTATTTTTGTTTCATAAGCAGGAGTGATACAGGAAAGCAATAGTAAGGAAAGGCCAGGCTGCTCTCCGAGTGCATATCTGAGCACACATCTTACTAAGAGCTCCTGGGCCTGCCCTGAGTGTGTGTACCACAGGTGCAGACTGGAGGTCACAATTCGGGAGGCTGCTCAGAGTTGTGACATTGAGTCAGCTTTTTCTTGGCACGGTTCTAATAAGGATTCTTGCTCTTTTTGAGAATTCTCCAGCCTCTCATATGGTTTCATGTGGCTGGTGAGGCTTCCTTTGCCCCGTGCTTCTCTGGATCTGCTTTGATCTTTTGCAGTTTTGATGTAGACCCACTGGTCTAAGTTTAGAGCCCCTTGATGCTAAGCCACAGAGACCTTGCAGCCTGTGTGGGATTCAGGCCCTTTTGCTACACTTGGTCTCTGGTCCGTGAAGCAGATCAGAGGTGCTCGGCTCACTGCAGGGAGCAGTGCACAGCTGCCTGGAAGGTCATTTGTGCCAGGGAGAAAGATCTCTTCTTATGGCTCCAGTTATATTTAGGACCAGTGAGTTCATGCTGAACAGCCCTTCTGTCCTGTCTGTAGATGGGGTGGCGAAGAAAAGAAACCTTTAACTAAAGGAAACCAAGATTGAATTAGGGGAAATAGGATGTTCTTTTTGAACTGTCAAATTATCGAAGCAGAATTTCCTTCTGGCCTCTTATACAATGGTCATTCTTCTAAAACATTACTTTAAAGTCCTCATAAATTAGCCATTTTCAGTTTGTTCCTGAATAGGCCAGTACCTAGTGACCCACACTGCTTGGTATTCCCAGCTTTTACTTGTGGGTCCCTTGAGACTCTCAGTTATTAATTCAATAATAGAGGAACACTGTCAAGCTTTTACTACCTGAAACTCAGTGTTAAAATACAGTATTTTCCAGCTGGCAGCACATTTCCCCATTCCCCATGCTCACTGGCGCTGTGCTTCTGTGTGGAGGTACAGTTCCCCGCACTCCCCTTCTAGCACCTCCATCTACCAGCCCGTTTGTGTTTTCCGTTACAGATCTCATGAAACCATTGTTCCTCAAACATTGTTTCTTGCTAGAAAACTAGCTTCTTTCAGTTTTTGTTTAGTTATCGGTATTTATTATGATGTTTTACAAATCAAATTTTATATTACTTTTAGTTAGATTAAAAGATAAGTGTCACGGGCCAGGGGTTTAGCTCACAGTGGCACTGCACCTGCCTCCCAAGCACAAGGTCCTGGGTTCGATCCCCGGTACTGGGGGAAAAAAAAGATAAGTGTTGATTGGTAAGAAGTAGAAAAGAAGGCAGGAGGAGTCTCAGGGTAAGATGGCAGTGTTGGGACAAGGGGTGCACAGGATGAGGCCCACAATGGTGACCCAGCGGGAAAGGGCACTGGGGTGAGGTAATATGTACAAGGCAGAGAGATAAGGAATAATACTCTAGGGCAGAATTGGATAGAGAAAACATTATTTTATGGGGCGAGGAGGGAAACTGAAGTCACATGTCGACAGGATATAGAAGGTCCAGCCCGATGCTAACTCGTGACCCACCGCACAGGCAGCGCCCCTGTGTCCGGTGGTCTCAGCATCCCGTTTGCTTTCTCCTCACACACTGTAGACCCATGGTAAAGTGTAACCACCCGCATACATTGTCCTGTGCCTAAATAAATAAACGAGACCCAGAAATACCCGTGATAAACTAATGCACCTAGGGAAGATGTGTGTTTAGAGGTAAGATTTTCTTTTCAGTGCTGAGGATCAGCCTCACAGCCTCACCATGCTAAGCACATACTCTAGTGCTGAGCTATGACCCAACACAGGAGTTTTAAAAATTCCTTTGCACAGTAGCCTTGATAGCTCTCAGAGGAACAACCCGAAGCCTAGGCTGTCTTTCCTCAGTTCACCGTCAGTCATTCATCTTTGGCCTCCCAAAGGTAGCCCTTAGGGACAAATATCTAACGGATTACAACTTTCATCTCCTCTTTTGTCTTCCTTTGCTAGGACCCTATCTACCTCTTTTGGATCAAATGGCCTCCTTTCTGTTATTTGTTCATTTATTTTTTGGCGTTGCTGGGATGGAACCCAGGGCTTTTCAGGCAAGCACTGTACCACTGAGCTATATCCTGAGTCCTCCTGTTTTTGTTTCAAAATCTTGTCTCCCTCTGAGTAGATGCCAGAAGGGGTAGAGAGTCTTACCCGAGTCAGAGACTCTAAGGTTGAAAGAATTGTCAGTAGGCAAAAACTGTTGTTGGGATGCTTAAAAATGTTTTCCTCTTCACCTCTTTTGTGATCTCAGCCAGCCTG